CCATAATCCAAAGTCGAGAAACTGCTCAACATCGATATAAATCGGCATACTCTCTTCTCTAATAATTTCTACCGCGCCTCTATCCCTCCCGTTTGATCTTGCAATTAAATGCGACTGCCTTCGCTGCGTCAGAACTCTCGCGTCGCTTCTCTCACATCACCCTTTCGCTCTCTAATTGTAAGTCTTCTGTCGCGTCCGCAGAAAAGCTTCGAGCTTCTTCTCTGTGTAAATGCCGCCGTCTCTGGCTGTGAGACCGCTTATGCGACTAGACGAGACGACTTAAGTCTTATGGCTCCACCGAGAGTGGCTCGATACCGTGGATACTAGTCGCAAGCCCGGCGGACGGTCTGCAACGCGTAACGCGACGTGGCTTATTGCCAATGCATTTTAAGTAGTCTACTATACGGTACTTCTTTCTTTCTCTTTCTCTCTCTTTCTTTCTATGTCGTTGTCCGAGAGCGCATTGTGCACCTGTGTACCTGCCGCGACATTGCATCGGACGTGTTTTATCTTCGCTTACAGCGAACGCGTATACGCGTGCGTGCTCGCACGAAGGAACGTGTACACGTGCACGCCGAGCGTCACTGAAGCGGTCGCGAGGCCACTACTGCGGTTTGCGCAAGGAAAGCAGAACCTCCGAACCCGTTCTAGCGTTGTATCGCGATTCACGAGCGATCGTGAAGTCGTCGACGAGACCTACGAAAGTAGTGAACGGCGATGGAACACGGAGGAAAAGCACGAAGGAGGCAGCGCTGACGATGTGTAAATCGCCTCGTTGATTGAGTCATTTCGCGGACGATCATTCTCGGGTATCGTGCGGCGAATCTCTTTAAGAACACATTGTATGATAACTAATATAGAATAACTGTATCATACCTATAATTTTTTGACGACACTTGTTTTCTTCACAGAAATAATTCGATGAAGTCACTAAAGCAGAGTATAAATAAATGAAAAGAATTGTAAGAATTATGTTTAACTGGTATGATAATATATGCAGCAGTGAACAGATGAAAGAGTACATACATTTTAATATTGATGACTACTATAACTTTAATTGACTGCACTGCTGCATATATTATCATACCAGTTAAACATAATTTCTACAATTCGCTTTTCATTTATTTTACTCTGGTTTAGTAGTAATTATATACCCTATTATTTATTCTTTGTCTGACAAATATGTAGATATGTTTTATAAAAGAGACTTGACATCACACACAAAGAAAACGAGATTTTGATTAAGAGCGTTCTTTCCAAGGTACATAAATATCTCATGACTATATCTAAGAATTGATACTATGGCAAGGCTTCTAATACGTGACGCAACGAGGCCGTTCTCCGAGCGGTGAGCGCGTTTTATTCACGTCGCCATAGGAATCCGCGCTACCGGGGGGTCGTGAGCTCATATTTCTCGAGCATTATGTCTCGACAACGTGTACGCGCTCTCGTGTGTCGGACGTAAGTAGGTAAATACCTCGACTACCGGGCAACGTAAAGGCAAAGGAGGCTCGCGGAGCCAGCTCGACGGCGCATCGGGCCGACACACAAAAGACATCGGCCGGGCCCCTAAAGCACGCCTGGAAATTGTCAGAACATAAACGCTCCCACTGTGAGGACCAGAATGATCGCCGCACGACTTCCGTAACTCCTTCGTATCGCCCTCGACGCCGTGTGTTCGCTATTTATATGGGCTTTCGGACGCCATTGTGAGTGCCCTCGGTGCGCTTAATCACCGCGCTTATCAAATTTCTATCGCTCCCGGATGGACACGTTGGAGATTTTTTTCTCGAAGTTGATCTAAAATCCGTGGGCCTTTCTGGGATACTCTGACATTACTCTTTATTGTCCAATACACTTCTCGTAGCAACATCGGATCTAATTATCATTTCATATAGTGAATAACGTCTTGTTGCATAACGGTTTATCTTATAACTCATAGATCCACGTAACCACAGAAAAATTTCATAACAGCAGATTTATGTGTGCGAAAGGACAGTAAGATGTCACGAGGCTCACGGCGACGAATTTCTTATTCTTCCTTGCTCACCCGATAAATCATTTATCTTATTAGAGACTTTTCGATGCAAGAGAGAAATGCACGCCGAACTTTATTTATTCATTTGCCTCACGTTGCCGCGCGTGGTTAGACAGTTCTTCTTTCGTTGCGTTTGTTGGGTGGTGACGGATCGCAATAGAGCGAAGCGTTCGCCAATAACAAGATTTCGAACGGCGAGAAATGGCCCGACGCGACGTTGGAAAGGGCTCGGCTTGGCGCAGCGCGGCGCGGCGTGGCGCTGCGCGACGGGGTTCAGGGTCGGTGACGGTAATTGAGAATGTCGAATGCGAATCTCAATCAGTGTCGCGCGCGCCGTGATTTATTTATCAATTAAAAACCATCCACCTTCGGGCCGCGCGCGGGTCGCGCGTTCTCTCCCCCCGTCTCTCTCTCCCCGCGATCATCGCTCGCCGCGCTCGCTCGTCCGCTATACACGGACCCGCATCAGCAGGAAGCCAGTTGTTAAAATGGCACGTGAATTTTACGACTCGCGCGTATAGCGCTATAAAATAATCGTAATCTTTGGATAATGCGCGCTTATGCATTGCCGACCGGCAGCCGGCACGCCATGTTCGGGCCGCGGCCCGCGAAGATCGTCGCCGCGCCGTCAATGTTAGCGGCCCCAACACTGACAAAGTAACGCGCGAGCGCGGAAGAAATCTGATGTAAAAGGCAACACGATCCGCATATTCACCATAAACATACGCACGCCTTATTACGACCCGCGCTTCGAGTCGCGTCGCGTCGCCCGTGCGCGCGAGACTCGCGCGTATGTCAACGTAAATAAGTTGACGTATGAGATATGCCTCGCGCGAACGGCACTTTTGCCGGCGCGTCCAGGCGCGTCCAGGCGCGTCCCGGCCTGAGAGCGACCTGAGAGCGAGCGCGCACGCCACGCATCGCTAATCACCGAGATCATTAATAATCGGTAATTGCGCGAATCAATTGGGAAAAATTAAGACCAATCGCGCGCGGCCGGTCGGCCGGCCGGACATCTTGCCAGCGAGCGTGTAGTGACCCATCCCGTATCTGCGATTTATCGGGGCGTCATTGATCGATCTCCGATGCGCGTCATCTCATAAAGGCACTTAATTATCTGTAGTCTTTAATTGGTAGGATACGAAGAGAAAAGCAGAGACAGAGAGAAAGGGAGAGAGCAAAAGCTCGAGCCTTTGGATTAAGAAATGTTTCTTTCTGTCTCTCACCTTTTGTTATATTTTAAAGTTCTACGAAAAAAGTAATTAAATAAATATTAGATAATATTCTTTGCATGTAATAAGCCGATGACGAAGGCGATTTTAACCCGAGAACGGGTGCCTCATTTTTTTGTACATAACCTGAGGCTATTTTTGTACCCTAATTAAAAATTATTATTAATTAAGGTAAATGCGTCCGTGTAAGGGTTATAGCAGAATAGAAGACCAATACACGAGTATAATCTATTCCAATTTGATTAACCCTAGAACGCATGAGAGGGGTCGATTTCGACCCCAGGCGAACTTTGAAAAACGCTCCTGAGCTAGCGAGTGACATTATTGTCGAGTCTTTAAATGGATTTTTCACTAACTAAACTTGAGTAAAATTAAATTTACCGCATACCATTCTCTTCGTTATTAAAAAACGAAGAAATTCATGTAGGTTTAAAGGCCCTTTATTTCTGTAGGACCGGTTTTACGATCAAATAAAGCGTGGGGTCGATATTGCCCCCAGTCATGCGTTAGAAGGTCAAAAAAATGATACATGCGTTCTAGGGTTAAAAATTATTACTGATTGAAAAATATATATTTCTTTATGGAAAAAAGCTTTTGTTTTGACAAATTGCTACATATTACACGGGAAAATTCTAAAATTACGCGAAGGTATCATTGTACGTCATTGCGTCCGCCTGATTAGTTTTCGAACGTATTTGCGTCCATTGCGTTGCCCCATTTGCGTCAGGACGCAAACTAGTACACGATTTGAGTGCACTATTTTGCGTCCGTCATGTTTACAACGTCGCACTGCAAAAAATATAATCGTGTTCTAACAGACAATTATATACTTTCCGATATGTATTATAGAATTCTCTTTATTCTCTTTATTTTAAGCAATCCAGCTCAACAAGCTACTCAAAATGTGTGTTTTTCTCACACAATTTCATCACACAAAAAGTCAGTAAATTATTAATTTCACACAATAGTAGCAAAGCAGGGCAACAACATCCTAATGTACATGCGTGCGTCCGGTTGCTTCGAATATTCAAAGTAATTGAATCGTCAGTGTATTCATGCTAAAAATTCATGATAAAATTACACGTTTTGAGTAGCTTGTTGAGCTGGATTGCTTAAAACACTTGGACTTACCTCGTGATTATTTCTCAGGATCCGCAACAACGATAAAAATGACAGTCACTTTCACCGTTCGATCTACTAAGAATTTGCCCTCAGCGCACGCGTATACACAAATGGTCACTCACGGCGCGCACTATGAAAATTGAAACCGTGTTATATTTTTTTAATTTCAATGAAACACATTTTAAAATAGACGCAATTATAGAATATTGTCTATAGAATAGAATAAATATTCTTCATGAATCAATAAGTGTGGATATTAATTGATTTTATTATTTTTTAATCAGATTCGGACGTAAATAGGAGCACGGACGTAAATAGGTGCATTTACCTTACACATTGCATATTTTTTATTGTTTTATAATTTGTCAGTTTTTGAAGACGATATCTAGATAGATTTTCTGAGAAAAATAAGGAGAAACCAAAAAATATTTAAAAACGAAAGAAGCACATAAAAATTACTGTGATGTGAGCTTTATTTTTTTGGCCGCTGGGGTGTTTATGTAGCCCCAAACACTCCCCAAGTTCTCGGATAAAATATGTGCGATTAATAAATTTTACTTTCGAAAAAACAATTTATTTATTATATTCTTCATTGTCTTCTTTTTCAGGGACGAACCTGGATGTAATCTGGACTCGGGATATTCAACCTAAGAATGAACCTGTGATAATTTGCAGTAAGGTAAGAAAGCCCCACCGCGCGGTGCGGCGGTTGTCTAGCATCATTGCGACGCTAATAATCGACATAATATCCTACCGTTTTCCTACAATCAGATACGTGATATATGCATACATAAATGTAATACGTTCCCCGTGTGCGCGCGACGTTATCCTTTATGACTCGACGGGTAAATCCATAAAACGGCGCACAGAAAGTCAGGTTTATCCTATTCTCCAGTTAACGCGTATACGGCGGTGTCAACTGGGAAACAGAAGATACGACGAGGTCAGGGAGTAACGGCCGCTTACATTTGCACAGTGCACGTAACGTTCCCTGTTTAAAGAGTGTTCTGCCACGACCCCCCAGGTGCACGTCGATTTCTGAAAGTCCGCTTAATTTCCCAGGAAGGAATTCTTGGACGCGGCGCGCAAACGCGAAATGGCCGGTCGAAGCACCCGACCAGTCGGGGCATAAGCGCGGCGACACGATGGGTTTATCGGAAAAAATTTACGAGATAAAAACCGTCATCCATTATCGGACCGTTAAAGCAAAAGGAGGAGACGAAGAGTGTTTTCCTCTAATGACGCGCGACGACGGGCGTTAAAACGAAAATGCCGCAACGTACGGCTTGGCAATATGTCGCGAATCGGATGTCACGATAAGCTAAAGAGCGAAATCCGCTTTAAAACTCAGCTAACTTATATCGTTCCTCTCTAGAAGAATATTTAGCCAGTTTCCGAATGTATCATCAATATTATACGCGAGTCTCTACAGCAAACAGAAATAAAGTTTGAAATATTTTTATATGTTATCTTATATATAACTTGTATACTTATATTTGCTGATCCATTATATATGTTTTTCAAAAAATTATTTAAAGATAAAATCTAATATTCCATAACGATAAATATTAAGATTTGGATGTACTAATTATATGCATACGAAACAGCTACACATAAAATAACTTGAATCGATTAGACATGGGAAGAAGTCGATGAGAAAATGCAGGGAAAATAATCGTAAGAGTATTACATCTCGGCGAATACGCCGGACGCGCTGAGCAGCTCGAAGGTTTAAGAAGCCCCGAGGCTCATCGGGATGCCGAAGGGGCCCGATACATGTAGCAAAGGTCGGGCCAGCACTAAACGCCAGACAATGCCTGTCGGCACCCTTTATACTCCTCTTTCTCTCTCGATCGGGTAACGCAGGATCGACAACGGAGCGAGTCTCGACGCGAGATTCCGCGAGCCTCCGTTCAAAATATATTAGATGCTTATCTCGCGTTCTAATAGAAAATATTCGCGATTAAAGTGAATCGGGCAACGGTAATATCGGGAACACGTTTCCCGCCATGAATCCGCCGCCTCCGCAAATCTCGAGGCCGGGAACGTGAACGGTAGGAAACGTCGCACTTCGCCGCCCACAATCTCACGCGAAATACCGCGTTAACAAACCGCGCGCTGTCCACTCGTGAAACTAACGGAGTAACTAATTACTGTCCCGAAGTTTATTTATGCACCACGTAACACCGTCGCGTGAATCGAAGAGTAAATTTCTCAGTGAGCAAATTAAGGATGCTTAGGCCATCTCGAGTTCGCTCTTAAATTCGAGGTTTTTTAAAAAATTGCAGAGAAATATACGATTTCCACGAAGAGTGTGAAAAGCTAGGTGTATATAACAATTTTTTTTATTTTTTCTAAAATAAATTGATTTCGCATTTCTGCGATAGAGAGCTGAATATTCTTGTCCTCGTGCAAATAAGATTTATGATCTCTCTTATATTTATGATCACTCTTATCTTAGCCTACAAAAACTTTGGGAAATTATTATTCACATAATTTTCCTACGCGTTTAATTACGTTTGTTGAATTTTTAATTTGTAAAAGCTAAAAACAAATTTGTTATTACAAGTTATTATCCCCGATGTTTCTACAAACGCGCCTGTTAAATATATGTACGTGTAAGTGTACATTCTCGATCATGTAAAAAAATGAGGTCCACGCATTCCTTCTCGAAGATGAAGCATCTCTCCCTTGCGCGATTCTTTCGCTCGCATCTCGCCGCCTTACGCGATCGACGCTTATCCTCTTCACCTTTCCGAAAATGTAACGAGATCTCCGTCACGCCCATCGCGCCGCGCGCGAGCCTCTTTATCTTAATATAATCCGGATCGGAAACTCACGCGAGCCGATGCCGGCACTACGCGCCGCGCCGCTTTCAAGTGCGCCGCTCGCAGTAAAATCGCGGCTCCAAGCCCCTTATCTCGACGGATCGCGGATGACCCGTCGACCTCTGCTCGTCGCCTATTGGCGGTATATCGCGTGTCTCTCGCCGGTCGAGTACCTATTGTCCGCACGGAAGTCGCGAACCCCGTCGATTTTCGTCGACGGAGAGATCAATCGCGTTGCCGATCGCCTCGGCCGATTCTCCTGACGGTACAGAAGATTGTCCCGACGAGGAGAGATCGTTGAGTCAGTAATACGGATCCGTGAAAATGAGCGTCTTCGAAAGCCACCGACAGAGGAGGACAATAATTGATCGTCGGGAAGTTGGTATAAATCGATGGGTCTTTAGCACGAAACCCGACGAACGTTCGCGGATAGATATCGCTGTTTGCGGTTTGACGATTCCCGGTACGAGCTTTCGATCCGATCTCCCATCCGTCCCGGGAACGCGCGCCAATCGTGCCCTCCGTCTAATGGTATTAATTTATGCCTCGTGATACCGTGTATAAATTGCAAGAGTCGGATTCCTGCCGTCTGCACGCATGTCGCTTCGTTTCACTGCGGTGAAACGCGTTTCATCCGAGTGTTACAGGATAAACTACCGTGAGCGAAAAATTAATACTGGAAATGGAGTGATAAATTCCGCGTCGAGATCTCTAAGCATATAATAGAATGAATATTTTGAAGTGTTGTAACAGTCTTATTAACAACTTTAATAATTATGATTCGTCATGAAGCAATTTAAGCAATTTAAGTTTGCTAAAAATTTATAATAATTTATATAAAAATTATTACGCGGCCTGTATTACAGCGTGCACATTATTTCTCTCGCACAAACTGCTCTCGGAAAAATTTCAAGGAAACATTAACTTCGCGAGGCTGAGGGGACGATGCGACGGAAGGAGGGAAATGAAATTTGCGCGAATTCGCGAGTACTCTCTCACTCGCGCGACTCGCTGATGCAAATGGCCGAGGACCGTTAACGGCCGGCACTAAATCTTTAACGGCCCCGGCGTGCCTCTCCCAGAGCACTAACTCATAAGTCGTGAGAGTTAGTGCTCGACGTACGCGAGCGGATTGGAGCGGAGTGGAGCGGAGCGGCGAGGGGGCAAAAACAAACCTCCGTTACCAAATGAACTCAAGCGCGCTCCTCGTCGACGAATTTATCGCTCTCGTTGCGACGCGCGCCAAACCTCGTAACTCATATTCGTCTCAAAATTTCTCGTTATCACCGTCGCGCACTTTCACGCTCGTAAATTTTCATCCGTGCCTTTTCGAGTAATCGCCGCGAAGCACGAGCGTAATAAATATCATTAGATATCGTTAACGATAATTGCTGATGTCCGTGGATCACGAGCGATTCGCGAGTGATATCGCATTGACCCTACTATTGTTATTTCTCTCTCTCTCAGGTGTATCTTCGTTGTATGAGAATATTTAGAAATAATAATAATAGCCCAGTCAATAGAGACATTTAAATGGAATTAATTCCGGGAAGCAATTTTTTTTTTTTTTTTTTTACTGTTTCGGAGGGTCATGAATAGTCTAAAACCGGATTTTCGGGATTCTAACCCTGGAGCGTTAGCCGCCATTTTGATTAAAAAGGTGATTTTATAAATATCTCGCTTATTTCAACTTTATAGAGTGAAAGTGGTAATAACCAAACTTGTAGAAAATTTAATACTCTACAATTTTGGTCTTTATCATTTTTTACCTAGGATCGATATTTTGGGTCTTAAACTCGAAAGTAGGGGGTGAAATTTTATTATTTTTTTTTTGTATTTTTTGAATAGGTAAAAAAAAATTATAAGGACCAAAATTGTAGAGTATTAAATTTTCTACAAGTTTGGTTATTACCAATTTCACTCTAAAGTTGAAAATAAGCGAGATATTTACAAAATCAACCTTCTAATTAAAATAGCGGCTAACGCTCCAGGGTTAGAATCCCGAAAATCCGGTTTTAGACTACTCATGACCCTCCAAAACAGTCAAAGAAAAAAAATCGCTTCCCGGAATTAATTCCATTTCAGCGGCTTTTTCGGGCTCTATTGACTGGGCTATAAGTGAACTTGACCGCGCTGTGTGACTAACACGAGTAATAGAAGTGTGCCTAATAATAGAAAGTTTATACTTTTTGTATGAACGGATTTGTAATTACTTTTGTTTCTATTTAATAAAAATTTTTTAACATACATTTTGTTTTTTAGTTTCAAAAAAATTGATAACTAAAACTCATAAAAATCCATAAATCAAAAATGTCATTTTAAATAAACGAAGTATCTATATTAATTATTACTGCAAACATATTTACTCTTTTTCTCTTAACATTTAACATTGGCAATTATATAATCATTAATTAATTAATGTAGTCTCGTAATTTCAGATTAGAAAGTTGTAAAAGGTCGACAATTTTTCTTTGGTTTGATTTATAAATTTAAAATTTGGCGAAAACATCCGCGTTTCATTGATGCGCCCGCTTGAAATCCCATCTTGAAATCTAGTGAAGCCGGACGATCGACCGACGATTCGTGGGGATCGCTCGGATAACGCCATGGCGGTATAGTATGTCGGAAATTATAGGGTGTTATCCGCGTTGCACGGCGCGCGCGAGAGAGGATATGCGATTCAACAAAGATAGTGCTGTCCGACCTGCAGTTGGTCCAGGGTATCGTAGCGAGGGAGACGGGGCATGGTGCGGAGCACACGTTTATAAGGTCGATTTTAATAGGGGTTTGGTTACAATTATGAGGCACTGTAATGGAGCCCGGCACTCATTACCTCGCTAAACT